AGGGCGCATTGCGTCGCAGGGCGTCTCACATGGCGCCTTGCTTCGCACTTTCCTGCCGTCTCGTGGCAGGACGCCTCACAGGGCGCAGGCCGCGTCGCAGAACGCGCAATCGCCCTCCCGCCCCCCCTGCTTCGCGCCGCGACGCGCGCGTAGATGCGGTGAGGGATTCACATACGGCCCGTGCGCGGCCGTTTCTGCCTCAACTCCCGCTTCCCGAGGCGACGGCCAGCACGGAAGTTTCGGGGGGTGATCACCAGGTCGTCTCCTGGCGGCTCCTTCCCTGGTGGGCTGGGGGTACATTCGCCCCCTTGATGCTGGGGAAAAGCATCGACAACGTCGTGAGATCACAAGGGATTTGCCACATTTTTGAAATTCGGTGCCACCCCTCACGCAGATCCGCGGGGTCAGGGTCCAAAAACACAAGGGATTTGCCACATTTCTGAAATTCGGTGCCACCCCTCACGCAGATCCGCGGGGTCAGGGTCCAAAAACACAAGGGATTTGCCACATTTCTGAAATTCGGTGCCACCCCTCACGCAGATCCGCGGGGTCAGGGTCCAAAAACACATGGGATTTGCCACATTTCTGAAATTCGGTGCCACCCCTCACGCAGATCCGCGGGGTCAGGGTCCAAAAACACATGGGATTTGCCACATTTCTGAAATTCGGTGCCACCCCTCACGCAGATCCGCGGGGTCAGGGTCCAAAAACACATGGGATTTGCCACATTTCTGAAATTCGGTGCCACCCCTCACGCAGATCCGCGGGGTCAGGGTCCAAAAACACAGGGGATTTGCCACATTTCTGAAATTCGGTGCCACCCTTCACGCACATCCATCGCAAGGCGTGGTAACCCAAACTGCGAGAACTCCCTCGGCCCTTTAATCGCAAGGTGTGGTAACCAAGCCCGTAAACCATACACGTCTTACCAATCGCCAGGTGTGGTAACCCCTCTTGTGATCAGTTGGTTTTGCTGATTGCGAATCGGCTTCGCATGAAGTTTCGATACTGCTTCACGACAGCGCCAAGGCCTCATGACTTAGCTCTTCCATGGCCCATTATCCGAGAGAGGGGGCCGGCGGCAGGGGGCGAAGCCCTTACGGATAAGGAAAGAGGCCCCTTTCTTCCAGAAGTTCAACTTCGACTTCCCGTCAAAACCCTAAGGACAACCCAAGGCAAACTGTGGAAGAGTTAAGGAACACGGAGCCCCTTCCCAACGAGAAGGGCTCCTTTTTCAGCTTCCCGGCTGTATGTTGGCTTCCCTTCTTCGTGAACCGCTCAACTCTGGAAGGACCTCTGGCGTCGGAGGGTCCCCAGATTTGGACACCCGAAATGGGAACAGAGAGAATGGGTACCATGCCCAACAACAAATGTTGTCCCAAACCAACAGCGGCCGCTGTTGGACAGGCGGCCTTCTGTCTCGAATGGACACAGGCCGCGGCGGCGTGGACAGCGAGTCCTGTTCAGAATGAACAGGAACTGCTGTTGGGCATCGTACCCATTCTTTCCGTGCCCATCTCGGGCGTCCAGACCAGAGGCGCGTCGGAGGGTCCCCAACGGCTGTCGAGGGCCTCGTCTCCCGTCGCCTTCCGGGCGCCAGGGGGGGCTCTTCGCCTGGGGCCCTCGATCGCCCGCGTCTGTCGCACCGGCACTGCGCGAAGCGCTCACCTCCGACCCGCTCGCCGCAGATACCTCCCCCGACGTGGGTCCCGGGAGTGCCTCCTCGGCCAAAACCAACACGTTCCTCAAATTCCGCGCGTGGGCTGCCGAGGGGATGTCCCAGCGGGGGCCAGAGTGGAAGAGGTCGGACAAGTCGCGCCGCGTGCCCGATGCATCGGCGACGTCGGGACGCCGAACATCCAGCTTCGAAGAGCGCTGCATCGCCGATGCATCGGCGAGGCTGCATTATCCTCCGACCCTGTCTACTCAGGCCCCATCTGGGATACCAACTTCTGGATTTACAAAGTCCAGGGTTCGCTCGGGACTGGATTCCTCTCAACATAGCCGGCTTCCCGACCCCCTCCGAAAACCCTCCAAAAAGGGTTCCGGGAGGGTTCTCGGAGGGTTTCGGGAGGGTTTGAACAATGTTTTCGTCGTTTGGGGAGGAAGCCAGTCCCCGAACCTTGGGCTTTCTAACTCTGGAGGGCTGCTGGTATCGCCAGAGGTCTTCTGAAAGCTTCACTGAGCCCAGCACGTGCAAGAGAATGTACCTTCGGTCCTCGGACGACGTCGGGCTTCGGACCACGGCCCTCGATCCTCGGCCCTAGATCACCGATCCCCTAATCACCGCCTGCCCTCGATCCACGAGACTCAAGAACCCTGTCCCCGGTGCATGATCAAACTGGGTCCTGAGGGCACAGAGTCCAGGCAAGCGGAGGCTCCCCCCATCGAACAAGCTGTTCATCTTGAACAATTTTGGACGGCCCAGGGGCTCGTGGATGTCCCAGGAGTCAGAACCAGGCGAATCATGGACGAGGTGGATTTGCGCGTGGCCCGAAGTATGTGCGCGTGCAAGGGAGGGTCAGGGCCAGCCACGACATTCCCCCCCCCTCCCCCCTGCCTGTGTGAGGGAAGGGTTGACCGAAGAGCCGATCTCCTCCCGAGTATCCTTCGGTACAGGCGGGAACCAATAATGAAAGACGATGATGCAGGTTTTACCCTTTTCCACTGTCCAACAGCCAGTGCTTCATTGCCAATGCCTGCAAGCCGAGATGGGCAACGGGTGCAGTAAAAGATCGGAAAGGTAGGAATCCCACCAGCCCTCTGGGCGTCGGTGGTTTAGGGCGTTTCCTCTTCCACCCCTCCCTCTTCCCCTTCGGGGAGGGGTTTACCCCTCCCCCTACCCCCTCCCCACTGACCTGGACAGGAGGGGCGGGGAGCGGTCAGAGCGTCCAAGATGGCCCAGGACGGCTCCAAGAGGGCCTCAGAGAGCCCAAGCGACAAGAATTTCATTCACACTCCCCGTCCTCACCGCCCTCTTGGATCCTCGAAACTTATCCCAGGACCAGCTTTCCGTCCTGAGTCGTCTCTGGACGGCCCGGAGGCTCGTGGCAGACCCCGAGATACCGAACTCGGTGAACGACATCAAGACCAGCTCCTCGCAGTACCCTTCTGCTTCATGGCGAATCCGAAGGTGCGTGGTGGTGCAGATTTCTCCTTCGAAGGGCCCCCAGTAACACGGATCCTCGATCCTCGATGCCCAACGCTTTCCCCAGAACCAGCTCTGAGTCCTGAGTAGTTCTTTGACGGCCCGGGGGCTCGAAGAAGGCCCTGTGAACTCGAAATCGATGAACATCACCAAAGACTCGTTCCCCTCAGTACCCCTCGCCTTCGTGGCGAATCCGAAAGTGCATCGTGAAGCAGATTTTTCTCTGCCGACAAATCCTCGATCCTCGATCCTCGATCCTCAAAGCCTTCTCCCAGGACCAGCATGACTTGTTGTTGGACGGCTCAGGGGCTCGTGGAGGGCCCCAGGAAGCGAAGTCGCCAATGAAGAGAAGTGCCCTCAGGTCCCCTACCCTCCGTGGCGAATCGTCTATCCTCGATTACCAGATGCTGGATAGGGGGGGGGGCAAATCAGGGCGGGGGGAACATCGAGCTGGAAACGGCGATGCATTCCCGATAGGCCCCCCGATAGCGTAACCGCACGCTCATGGGCGACGTGGGCTATCATGCCCCCCCCCTATCGGCGCTGAATGGGCGATTGGGGGTCGATGCGCTCACACCCTAAGCGTACTCCCCCCAATAATCCTCGTCGTCTGGTTTTCGGATGAGAAGGAGCAGAAGGAGGAGGAGGAGGAGGAGGAGGAGGAGGAGGAGGAGGAGGAGGGTGAGAAGGAGGACGAGGAGGAGGAGGAGGAGGGGGAGAGGAGGTGAGGGTGAGGGTGAGGAGGAGGAGGAGAAGGAGGAGGATGAGGAGGAGGAGGAGGAGAAGGAGGAGGAGGAACGCCTAGGAGTGCCCTGGAAATGGCACAACAACTTTTTTGGCGGTCCCCTTCTTTATTTCTTGTCTGGTCCCGTCGCTGCATATTTGGTTTCGGCTAGGCTTCGATTACAATTCCAGCGCTGTTTGGTTTTCCGTTTTGCGGGAGCACCTGTCCAAACTGTTTTCGTAAACCAAAGGTCATCTTTTTGGGGAAACAACAGAAAACGGCCTGCCGTTTCCAAGGCCGACTGAGCTCGGGGAGACGAAGGACTCGGGTTCGTGGGACTCGGGCAGGCCTGACAAGTCGGTCAGGAAAATGACGAGGCCCACTCTGAAATTTGACGCGGGCTCCCGCTGCAAACATCCAACGGTACCTGGATCGCCCAAATTCAGAATAGGCACGTCAAGACGAATGGGCAAACCCTAGCTTTAAGTCGGGCAGGTTCCTCTACAGGAGGAAGAAGCAACAATAGTAACACATTAGTCTGGTGACGCTTTTTCGTGTTCTTAACATCATACAACATGTTTTTGTGTCTACTGTTTGTCTGCCAGAATCTGCCTGCAGGAGGACATACCCGACCTAACCCTAGCCTTATGTTTCCCCGATGGGCGCCATTCCTCCCGCTGCAGCTGCCGCTCCCGAGAAGCCCCCCCTCCACTGTCAGGGGCAACGGTAGGGGGGACTGGCTCTGGGGGTGCAAGCATCGACCTGGAATCGGCGATGCATCGCCGACGGATTGGCGATAGGTCCCCCAATAGTGAATCCGCACGCTCGTGGGTGGGGGCGGGCCATCGGGTCTCCATCGGCGATGAATGGGCGATCGGGGGGTCGATGCATCTCCCCCATACCTGTCATTGGGTCGGGCGTGTCCTCCTACGGGCGGCTTTCGGAGGAAAAATCAAAAGTAGTCAGAACGTACTCAAATATGGTCAAGCACGGTCGAAAAACCGTCCTGAGACCAATTTTGGGCAAATTTGGGACATTCCTCCTCTGGAGGGACAGGCCCGACTGAAACTTACGCCCATCCCCCCAATCGTTGCCCCCGACCCTGCCCGCCCGCGGGGAGCCGCGCGCCTGCACGGCCTCGCTGTCCTCCCCCTCGGCCGCTGGGGCGGCGGCAGCGGCCGGCCGCTCGGCGGCCGGCTTCGCCGGTCCGGCCTGGGCATCGGGGCGAACACGCGCTGCCGCCGCCAGTGGCGCCGACGTCGTCCTCGGCATTGTCCTTCCCCCCTCGACCTCTGGCCAGGAGCTCGAGGCGGAGACCCAGACATCCGACGTCGTGGTTCTCAAGCGGCGTCGTTGCCCGAGCATGCCTGTGCCGCGTTCCCGGGGACCGGCTCGTCCTCGTGCGAAGATCATGTTAGGATCGTGCTGTGGGCCCGGCAGGGGACCCCCTGGCGGCATAGAATCAGCAACACAAGCCATATTGGGCCTGGGTTCCCAGGTGGGCTCACCAACGTTGGCCTGGGTTCCCAGGTTCTTCTAAGCAAATAGGTTTTGGCTTCCGAGGTTCAGATGCTTCCAATAGGTGCACCCAGGCAGGTGGCGGTGGGCTTCCTGTCTTCACGACGCGAGGCCAAGGGAAACTCGAGGCCGATCTGGCCGCGGCCACGACCAGAGAGTGGCCCAGGGAGGCCGGGAGGCCCCAAGGAAACGCGCAGGAACCCTTGGAACATCGGGCGGGTGGGCTGACCCAGCCGCGGGCGAGAAGGACGGGAAGGATGATGGGGTTTAGATGAGAGGGCGCGGGGGGGGAGGAGGAGGAGGAGGAGGAGGAGGAGGAGGAGGAAGAGGAGGTGGAAAAGGAGGAGGAGGAGGAGAAGAAAAAGGAGAAGGAGAAGGACGACGAGGAGGAGGATGACGACGAAGCGAAGGAGGAGGAGGAGGACCAGTGTAAACCTTTTTTTTTTGACCTCGACAGGCCTCGCCGCTTCAAAGACTTCTCGCAGCAACAGCGGGCACTGCAGCGAGAAAACCGCAGCTGCAAAGAAACACTGAACAACTATCTTAAAACAGCTGCGAATGTGAGGTGGGTGTGCCTGGGCGCTCCGCGAGGCCAGGCAGCAGAGACTCACCTCAGGGTGGCCCCTCACAGGCACACAGGGACCAACGGGACCCTGCTACACATGGGCAAGGGCCGAGACTGAGGCACGGAAAGCACAGAGCCCCCGCCCTCCACACAAAAAGAGGAGGCGGCCCTCTACACAGGAGGGCGACCAAAACAAAAGCCCACCAGAATTAGGCGGGGAGCAAGGCCACCTGCAGAATACTGCAAGTGGAAAAAGCAACACAGACCGACAGAGCTCCAGTCCACAGCAACACCTCTAACTGGGACATGGGGCGGATCGCCCTCATACTCCCGCAACTAGGCACCTCCACGGGCAACGAACGCGAGCACGCACACGAGCGAGAGGAGGGCCAGGCGCTGGGGCCAGGGACAACTCACCTGGTCACTGCATACGCCATCGGAACGACCGTCGGGATAAACTTACCCCCGTGCTCCTCTGAAAGGAACCTTCAGGATGTGCGCGCACCTTCCCCCTGAAGCGGGGTGCCAGACACGCGTGCGAACACGACAAGACACGAGACGCACAGGATGGGCTAACACAAGGACGACGAGGCCTGCCCCAGGTGCTGATGCGCCTGGACGACAAGCCTCGCCCCAGATGTAGAGCCAAAGCATAAGCGATAAGAAAAGGGCCGAGGCCAACGAAATAAAATCCGACCACCCACACAAGGACGACGAGGCCTCCAGCCCCTGGTGCAACGAGCGCCAGGACGACTGGAGGCCTCGCCCCAGATGTGGGGTAAAGAACGGATGCCTGCCAAAAGGGCCAGACCCATCGGGCCGTGCAGAAGAGAGAAAAGCCAAACAGCTCTTAGAACAGTTCGAGCACATCATCAATACAAACTGTCACTGGCCGACGTTTTTCGTGGGGGTGCAAGGCACGGCAGACGTAATTCCAGCCAGTCCCAGCACGTCTGGATGGTTTACCTTCGCACCGCTCTCCAAAGCCTTTTGACCCTGCTTCCGGTCGAGTGACATTTACAACGGACACATATGAATAGCACGGAGCCATCTGAACAATGAAATGCTATGACTCTATGCCCTAAACTTTGGAGAACATCGTCGTCTAACTTAGACCTATTACTACACCTACCTGGAGGGGCTCTTGCGGGGACCTTGTGCCGAGCAAACACTGGGAACACCTCCAAATACCAGACCACTTCTTCCAGGCGTGTGAGGTCTGAGGGTGGCTAGGTGAGGCAGGGACAGGCACACAGGGAACGTCTAACGACAACTTAGGCCAGAACGGCAGCATATTGGCAGCTAGAATGCAGTAGGCACGGGCAACAGTCACTAAGGCGTCTACTTCCAAATTTAATGCCGCATCAGAAGGGTGTAGCTGGAGGCCATGCTTGGCACCAGCATCTGCATCTCTATTACCTAGGCGCAGAAATCGTTCACGCGAGGAGATGCCTTCTTCGTCCACGTCTCGGTGTGCTTTGACCTTGACGATGGACTTGATTGTATCTCCTTCCTCACTATTCGCATTGAAAATCATGCCCGAATAAGAGCGCTTGCCCGAGTAGCGCTCAGAGTGGGCAACAACGAGTGGTGCACAACGTTGGCACAATCACTGTATAGGACCGAGGGAAAGCAAACAAACTGAGCAACAACACATCTGGCAGAGTACTCAGCCGCTTGTGGTGTTTGAGGGAAGTGGGCCCAGACTGGGCCTCTGACCTCTCCAAGGCACTTCCCGTCATCCGAATTCATGGAAATACACCAAGCAGCGCGGGAAAGTTCTCGAACAACGTGGCGCTGGCAGGACCCATCGAATACAGGTGGCCCCACATCTTACCACTAGCGGGAACCAAACGACCATCGGGGCTTTCGAGCTCGTCCACGTGCCAAGCATAAAGCAGGACACTGGTGCCTTCCAGGGCAGGACGCGGCAACACATCGGCGGGGTGAGCGAAAGCTCCTCGAGTATACAACGCGACCACGTGGCTGTCGGCCTCAGCAGCCCAGACACGAACGGAATCAGCAACTACCGAGGCGGGGACCAGCTGAGCACGCAGCTGCTCCACCGCGCCGAAAGAGCACTGCCACAGCCTGTGGAAGATACTGTCGGGGGCCTGCCGACAGAGCGGACAACGTTCGTCAACCTGATACCCACAAGACAACGCTCTGTCAGCAGTCCCGATGGCGTCACACGAACAGGCTCTGATCCACCCCCACTGCGCGGGGGAGAACTTCTTACTTTGAATGGCGGCTTTGGGCACATCGAGGCAAACTCTGCAGTCCAAGTCCCATTTTCCTCCCAAGTCCCTTTCCAACCCTCTGTGATAGGCATCCTTACACAAGGTTTCAAAAAAAAGCCAGGAGGGGTGAGGCCCAGACTAAACTTGTAACCTCTATCGTCAGCTATAGTGATGTAGTCGTCCATGGTCCATCCGAAGCGTACAAGCGTGAGCCTGAGCGCCGAAAAGGGGGCCACGAACAGCAGGCCAAGTGAAGCGAGGAAGAGCAAAAACTGACTGCCAGTTTCACCTCAACTCAGGATGCTGGATGGAAACCGGATGAACATGAGTCTGGGCTAACCAAAACTCTTTGCTCCACCTCGGCAGCGGGGCACAGGCAACACGCCAGCAAGGGTCGTCAGACAACAAACAGACGGCCGTGAGAGAACGCCCTTTAAAGAACGGTCTGACCGTCGAGAAGGCTTGCCTTCGCATCGTCAGCAAGACCTGATCACTCACTTCAAAAATGTCCGCGCCGTACGTCCCCCCAGGGAAAGGGCCGCACGCGTACACTCTCAGAGCTCTGCGACCAATGGCGCCTGACTGACGCTTGAGACGTCGAGCTTTCCTCCCAGCCAAGGCCACACGGGCTTTGAGCTTGGAGCAACGGCCAGAAACACGCGCCGCAGCTCCAGCGGTGTAATCCACACCGAGGTTGATCGTAGAATCCGTGGCCCTACCTCCCAGCTGGCCGAGCGCAGAGGCAAGATCACGACCAAGAGGCTTACACGAGGAAACAGTACAAACCTTGTCTAACGAAAGTTGACAACTCATCATGTCAGGGGCAGTGATGACATGATGAAGGGCAGCAGTGGCAGAGACGAGACTAGAGACAACATGCTGACGAGTGCCAGTACAAAAAATACTCGTGCCATCGATGTACACATCAAACTCCAGGGAACGAATGGAGGGGATGGTATCAACCGAGGACACAGCATACACTCTGATATGAGTAGTGGCCATACTACACCCAGCTATCCCTCCATTGTCCACGACAGGAGGACCGTCCAGGATGCCAGCAATCGAGACGAACCTGCCGCAACGATGGGCGAATAGGGTGAGCCTGGTGAGCACCTGGGGGAAATCCACATCGGCACAGCGGGCTTCAAGGGTGTCGAGGTGAATAGTTTCGTAATACTTCAGCAAGTCGTTAAAAAAACACTCGCGCTGCATTTATTTCTGGAGGTGCCAGCTTCAGCTCGAACTGACTGCCTCCACACAACATCCGAAGCTCCCCGAAAAGCACCAGCAGCCCAGTACCGACGGGGGCGTTGCTGCTCCCAGGACAAAGCATGGGGCCGTCGAAGGCGGCCCCACACTTTGTACCAAGAGCAAAACACCCCTATCGGCCTGTAGCCGCCTGTGGGTTTCGTGAGCATAGCAAGAAAAACAGCACTGATCTGGCTGGGGAGCTGACCGAGAGATTCCATCAGCTCAAACAGCATGCCGGGTGAAATAAGACCGTCCTCACTCAACTGCTGGAAATGCCTACAACCAAATCCATCATAAGTGACGGCTGAGGTCTTCTTATGTTTTTTTGCTAACCGCCCTGAGTTCCTCGGGAGTGGCTCAGGGAGAGGGTTCACAAGAGAGGGGGGAGCAAGGTTGCCGACACCAGCCCCCCAAAACTTGGAAAACTTATCCCCTTCACTGGCCAATAAGCTGAGGGGGTCAGCCGCTATAACCCCATCACGAGACAGAGTAGTGGAGGGAACCCATGAGGTGGGATCCTTGGCGATAGTATGGGCATTACGAGCACCCTGGTCGATACCCTTAGTAAGCCATGCTCGCCAATCAGCCTGAGAACGCGTTTTGAAAGAGGCCTCCGCCTGGGAGGCAGCACCTGAAATCGATCCAAAGAGATGGTGGGCAGCTTCAAGCTGATCAGTCGTCATCTGTCTGCCTCCTAGAGACGAAACAAAGACATGCACTCTCTCCAGAG